AGACCCCCGCCTCTATTAAAGATAGAAAAATTAGCTGGATGTCATGGCACATGCCTGTAGTCCCAGCTACTCGGGAGGCTGAGGCAGGAGTATCGCTTGAGCCCAGGAGTTTGAGGTTGCTGTGAGCTATGATGACACCAATGTACTCTAGCTAGGGCCAGAGAGCGAGACTCAGTTCCCCCCTCACCAAAAAAAAAGAAAAGAAAAATAACCCAAAAAGAGATAGTTTCTCCAAGGAAGATACACAAATGATAAACTCATGAAAAGATGCTCAACATCATTAGCCATCAGGGAAATGCAAATCAAAACTATAATGAGATATCACTTCATATTTGCTAGAATGGCTATGATCAAAATGACAGATAACAAGTGTTGACAATGATATATAAATCAACACTCTCATACACTGCTGGAGGGAATATAAATGGTGCATCCTCTTTGGAAAACACTCTGGCAGTTCCTCAAACAATTAAACCTAGAGTTACCATATGACCCAGCAATTCTATTCCTAGGTATATGCCCAAGAGAAATAAAAACATGTATCCACAAAGAGCCTGTACAAGAATGTTTATAGCAGTGTTATTTCTAACAGCCAAAAAAAGGTGGAAACAACTCAAATGTTCATCTACAAATGGATATACAAAATGTGGTATATCCACACAATGGAATATTATTTGGCCATAAAAAGGAATGACTGATCATGGTGGCTCATGTCTGTAATCCTAGCACTCTGGGAGGCCAAGGCGGGAGGATTGCTTGAGCTCAGGGGTTTGAGGTTGCAGTGAGCTATGATGACCCCACTGCACTCTAGCCAGGGCAAGAGAGAGAGACTCTGTCTCCAAAAACAAACAAACAAAAAAGGAATGAGTATCAATACATGTTACAACATGAATGAACCTTGCAAGTACCATGCTAAGTGAAAGAAGCCAGTCACAAAAAACCACATATTATATAAATCCATTTATATAAAATGTCCAGAACAGAGAAATCTATAGAGACAAATAGTAAACTAGTGGTTGCATAGGGTAGGAGATAGGGGGATGGTAGGTTGGAGAAGTAGGGTAGTGATAGCTAAAACATATGGAGTTTTGGCCAGGCGTGATGGCTTGTACCTGTAATCCTAGCACTCTGGCAGGCCCAGGTGGGAGGATCGCTCAAGGTTAGGAATTCAAGACCAGCCTGAGCAAGAGTGAGACCCTGTCTCTACTAAAATAGAAAGAAATTAGCTGAACAACTAAAAATACATAGAAAAAATTAGCCGGGCATGGTGGCACATGCCTGT